TCAGCATCTACAATAAGTTTTTAGTTAAATGAGTTACAACAACACCTAATTTCCCTCTGGGATCAATAAAGTATTTTTGAATTGAATTGAATTGAGAAGTGTTGTTCMCTCACACAGGAGCAATTTGGACACCTCAGCTGCCTTGTTGATTTAAAAGTCACCTCACTGTTCATCATTTTCCCACAGGCTGCATACGTTACGCATTGATCTCAAAGGAATGTTGCATGGCTGACAAGATGGCAAAGGCTTGTCACAAGAGTTTTACAGTGTTCTGCCGATTTTTACCTGTCACCTTTTTGTTCTGTGAGCACAGGCTTTGGGTTCACTTGTGTGTGAGCAGCAGAGAGGTACTGTGTTGTTTAATTAGTGACAAGATGAAAGAGATCTCAATGAACGGCTAACTGACAGCTTGAACCACTCCTTGTGACAGTGATGAGACAAGTTGTGTTGACAGATCTGGCAACCAAAAGTTTCTCTGTGCTTCCAATATCCTTAAGGGCCTTTTGGTGGAAGAGTCATTAACACTCAGGAAAATTAGAATTCAGCTCCAATTACTATGATTTAAACCGCTTCCGACATGGGTTTGTCTAATAGTACATTGCATAGTGATTTATTCACCTTAATCTGTTGGGTGTTGTCTGAGCAAGCTATGTTTCTATTGCAAAACATTTCATCTGTTTATTTTTGTACTGCTGCTGTTGTTTGTGAGATGTGAGAAGGCGTTTTTCCTTCATTTCAGCTCCAAACCCATGTGCCACCAGTGACGGTAAAGGCCCTTGCTCCCACCTGTGTCTAATCAATTTTAACCAGACCTATTCCTGTGCCTGCCCGCACCTCATGAAGCTGCAGCCTGACAAACGTACCTGCAAAGGCAAGTATAGATTCTGTTCTTTCTTTTTGACTAAGAACTTGCAGGTTGTGACAGTTATACACAGCCAATAGCTGGAAGAAGCAAGAGCTTCATACACACACAAACACATATACATATATATTAGGGGTGCAACAATACATGTACCCGTTTCGAACTGTATCGAACAGTGCTGTATCGAACAATACAGATTTTAAAAATTTACTTTATCAACTTGTCTTCTGAAGATGCTCTGTGTTAAAGGATCAGTGGATCTGTGTTCGACTACTCCACCTAGGCTGCATTTTTGAGTGCAGGTCCACTGAGAAACTTGCTGTTTCAGCAACATTTAATTAAAAAACTGTACTTTTGAGGTTAAACAAATATTCATAATTAATATAAATAAATTACAAGTTAAAAGGGGCATGGAAATGTCTCTTTTTTTGTATCGAAAAAATATCGAACCGTGAGGCTAAAGTATTGAACCGAACCGTGAATTTTCTGTATCGTTGCACCCCTAATATATATGTGTATATATATATATATATTTATTTATTTATTTATTTTAGTGCTGGGCATGTTAATATGTTATCACGTTAACGCAGCTGATGTCTAACAGCAATAATTTTTTTAACGCGCGTTAACGCGTTTATTTCTTTATTTACATTTCTCTGTCAGATCTCTGTTCACTATCACACACMGACACAAACCCAGTGATTACTGTAGGGAGGCGGGATCTTGATCACTATTGCCCTCCTATATCCTTATGTGCTTCATTGTTGGAGGAACAATAACTGATAAGTTAATAATTTAACTGTATATTTTTTAATGTTTTCCAGAGTCTAGAAAGTTCCTGCTTTATGCTCGTCAGATTGAGATCCGAGGGGTTGACATCGACAACCCATATTACAACTACATCATCTCCTTCACTGTGCCAGACATTGACAATGTGACTGTGGTGGATTATGATGCCGTGGAGCATCGTATCTACTGGTCTGATGTGCGAACTCAGACCATCAAACGAGCTTTCATTAACGGCACAGGAGTGGAGACTGTTGTGTCAGCAGGTAATATCAGTCTGTTGTGCCAGGTTTGGTTTGATTCTCTTTGTACCAAATGTTCAATGTTGTTCTGGTATTCTTCAGACCTTCCTAATGCCCATGGCCTGGCAGTAGACTGGGTGTCAAGGAACCTTTTCTGGACCAGCTATGACGCCAGTAAAAAGCAGATCAATGTGGCAAGACTGGATGGATCTTTTAAGAATGCTGTCCTCCAGGGATTAGACAAGCCTCACTGTTTGGTGGCTCACCCTCTGCTTGGGTGAGTTTTCTCTCCAGTTAGTCACTACAATACATGCCTCCATTAAAGGTGGAAAAATCATAAGATTAAGTGAAAAATCTTAAAACTAGCATTCCTTTATTTTTGTCCTGATTTATTGTTATTTGATTAACATATCAAAACTTTATACAGTCACATCTGACTTTAGTTGCACAGATTGTATACATTATGTTTTTATTGAAACACCTCTTGCATCTATCAAATTTAAATTCCTCAGGAAGCTTTACTGGACTGATGGTGACAACATAAGCATGGCTAACATGGACGGTACCAACCTCACCCTGCTTTTCACCAATCAAAAAGGCCCAGTGGGTAAGTTGACATAGACTAAGTCAATTTTCAGAATATATGTTTGACAGGGTTCCCACGGGTCCTTGAAAGTCCTTGAATGTTTTCTGGGGATTGAAGTTCTCTATTCACATGACTGATTTTCATCATCTGTAAAAAAAAAAAACAATAATAATAATAAAATTTAAAAAAACTTACATTTGTTGCAGTGGATAACTCAGGATTACGGTAAACTGACGTGGCTTTCAACAAAAAACGTGAGCCACAGTCATAGTTTTACCCAGTCAGTGCAGAGTAGGGCGGGTCGTTCTTTCTGAGCCCAGGTGAGAGCACCACAGCTCCTCCTGTCCTCACCGAGCGTCTGGACATGTTCACATCCCCTCCTACCAAACTGAGTTGCTGAACCTCCCAGGACATAATTACATGTCTGTGTATTGTGGATATGAATGTAGGATATACATTTCATCCACTTTATTTCATTCTTATTGACTCAACAATTTCTATGTTGTTCAGTTTTTCATTGAATTTACGTGATATTAAACCTGCTTATTGGTAGCATTTTGTGGTARCAGTAGGTAATTGCCGTCACACGTGGTTTTTGAATTTGAGGAAATTGGTGCTGGAAAGTTCTTGAAAGGTCCTTGAATTTGATGTTGACCAAGGTGTTGGAACCCTGGTTTGAGTCTTCATTGAATGCACACAATTAAGAGTTCTATTTTAACACATAAATACAAAGGAACATGATTTGTTTTCGTATTTCAATTAGGGCTATCGATTGACTATGAAAAGGAACAGTTGTACTGGATCAGCTCAGGAAACAGCACCATTAATCGATGTCAACTTGATGGATCTAAACTGGAGATTCTTGAAGGGGTTAAAGGCAAACTTACCAAAGCTACTGCACTGGCTATTATGGGTAAGTTCAACAAGAATAGTTTTTGTATATTATACATATTTTATTGCGTTAATGTTTAGAATCATATGGTGGTGGTGTTTACATTTTCCTGAGTTGAACTTACAATAACTCAATAGTAAAAGGATAACTGAAATATATGAAGAAATTTTTTATCACTGCAGGAGACAAACTCTGGTGGGCTGACCAGGGTACTGATCAGATCGGAACCTGCCACAAGAAGGATGGTGGTAATTGGAAAGTTATGAGAAACCACACATCCCCGATGATGCACATGAGAATCTATGATGAGGATGTGCAGAAAGGTAGCAACGATTTTTTTAACAAGTCTCTTAAAATTGAAGTAACCTTACAAGAAAGAGGAAAAGAAATACCTTTTTGATCCATCTTCGTGATCTTTTCTTTCAGCAGGTATTAATCTGTGCAGTAACAACAACGGTGACTGCTCACAGCTGTGTCTGCCCACCTCTGTAACAACCAGATCCTGCATGTGCACAGCTGGATACAGCCTTAAAACAGGGAAACAGTCCTGTGAGGGTAAGCTGATTTTTCATAGCTACTATTGTTCCATGGAATATAGATGTTTTTGTTCTAAAAAAAAAACAGAACTTTACCGTACCTTTCCTGAGCAGGTATGGGATCTTTCCTGCTTTACTCTGTTCACGAGGGGATTAGAGGAATACCTCTCGACCCGGGAGACAAATCAGATGCCTTAGTGCCCGTGTCTGGCACCTCTCTGGCTGTCGGCATCGACCTCCACGCTGGTGAGGGACACCTGAAGACATCAGTAAATGGATATTCTATCTAGAGTGACATTTTAAAGCTGTCGCTCTCTCCTCTACAGAGAATGACACCATCTACTGGGTGGACATGGGACTGAGCACCATCAGCAGGGCGAAGAGAGATCAGACGTGGAGAGAGGATGTGGTGACCAATGGGATTGGCAGGGTGGAGGGCATAACTGTGGACTGGATTGCAGGTGAAGTCATTACACAATTTGAATCTGTTTTTTTAGAAAATTAGATCTTCCACATGCATATGTAAAGCACAACATCTTACAATTTTCTTTTACAGGAAATATTTACTGGACTGACCAGGGCTTTGATGTGATTGAAGTGGCCAGGCTCAATGGCTCATTCCGCTATGTGGTCATTTCCCAGGGACTGGACAAACCCAGAGCTATAACTGTCCACCCAGTCGAAGGGTAAGTATAAATCTGCCCTGTGTTACAGTGCTGCCTTAAAATACTCCCAAAACTTCATTTCTCTGAGTTTCTCCTTTTCTGCTCTTTTAAATTGTCTTATGTGGCTCTGTCTGCAGGTATTTGTTCTGGACAGAGTGGGGTCAGTATCCCCGTATCGAACGATCACRGTTGGATGGCTCCCAGAGGTTGGTCATGGTCAATACGAGCATCAGCTGGCCAAATGGAATCTCTATCGACTACAAGGTGTGCTTAAGACCACCCTAAACCTCTTTGTTTTGTCATGACAGAGCATTTCCCGTGTTCTTTTGTGAAACAATGAGCCTTTGACCGGGACATAGTTTAAATTTGATCTCAGCGTGTATAAAAAAACATGCCTGATGTAGTGTGTCTACATAATGTAACCGACAGCTAGTCTTAGGGGATATTTGAAGGCAGTTCTTTTTCTTTGTTTCATTTCAGGAGGGTCAGCTGTATTGGTGTGATGCTCGAACGGATAAGATCGAGCGCATCAACTTGAAAACTGGACAGAACCGAGAGCTGGTTCTGGCCAGCAACAACATGGACATGTTTGCAGTGTCTGTATTTGAGGAGTACATTTATTGGAGTGATAGGTGGGTTTTTATTATCCCTATACTAAATAAGCCACAAAGAATGTTTCAAATCTGATGTTAATCAATAGCTGTGCTGTCTTTTGTTTAGGACTCATGCCAACGGCTCCATTAAGAGAGGTAGCAAAGACAATGCTACAGATGCTGTGCAGCTCAGGACAGGCATCGGTGTCCAACTGAAAGACATCAAGGTTTTCAACAGAGACAGGCAGCAAGGTGGGAACACATAATATGACCAGCAGTCAAATTTAAATTAAGATTTTTTAAAATTAAATTAAACTCTGTTCAGCTCAGACATTGAATAAATGTTTATTTACAAATATGTCATGTTTTYCACAGGCACAAATATTTGTAAAGGCAACAATGGTGGTTGTGAACAGCTGTGTCTCTATCGTGGCAACGGGGAGCGTACCTGCGCCTGTGCTCACGGCATGCTGGCAGAAGACAACCGCAGCTGTCGCGACTATGACGGATACCTGCTGTACTCGGAGCGAACCATACTGAAAAGCATCCACTTGTCTGATGAGACAAACCTCAACGCGCCAATAAAGCCATTCGAGGACCCGGACCACATGAAGAACGTCATCGCCCTCAGCTTTGATTACCACGGGGGTGGGGGGAAGGGAACCAACCGCGTCTTCTTCAGTGACATTCACTTTGGCAACATCCAGCAGATCAATGATGACGGCACCAATCGCAAGATTGTGGTGGACAGTAAGTGCTGAGTCATCACTTGTTTGACATTCTAAAACAAAACGTTTAACCTCACAGGACCTAAACCTTTCTCCATCTACCCTATGATTTAGTAGTGCAACTCTTTGGTGCCACTTTTTTTAACCCAGTAAATGATATATTTCTACTTTTTCATCAGTGTCAACCACTATAATAAACACAACTGAGAAGCTGCTTGTGCACTAATAGAAATTTAAGTCAATGTCGGTTGTCACTGAAACAATGCTTGCACACAAATACGCTCAATCTCTGCTTTTACTTGTTTTTACACAAGTGTTTTTATTCCTGTTCTCTTTTAATAATCCAAAATTATATTGTTGAACTCCATCTAAATCACACTTGCTCTGCATCAACTTAAAACTGACTCATATGGCACTACTGAAGTAAAAAAAAATACACACAATTTTATGTGTTTATTGATGATACGTTAAGAGAAGGGTTCCGAACTTCAAGAGATGTAAGCCTGTTTTTCACTTTTTCAACTTCTAATAAATAAAATCATAGTGTAAAAGAACACAGTTAGGTTTTATCACCATTTTGTGGCATTCTGCCTGCCCAAATATCTCATTTTAAAGACATTATTATTATTAAAATCTCCATTACATATCCATAAACTGAAATTTAAAAAAAATCATTTTACAATTTACTGGAACGTATTTATCATTTCTTGGAGTGTTTCATTATGAGAAAAAAAAGCCCATCTGATTCAGTTCATTATTGTTAGTATTAAGCAGCAGTGTTTTCCTTCTGGTAACAGTCAGTTTTGACCTCTCTCTGAGGTTGTGTCCAGCTCAAAGGGCTGTACTGTGTCTCTTCTCATTGCACATGGACAACCAGTCAAACAGCTTCTGCACCAAGTGCACTGTTTTCTCCCAAGCACCAATAAGTCCCGTCTAAACTTATGAGACATGAAACCGTACAGCACAGGGTTTACCACGGCTACTGAGGATGACAAGAGTCTGGCCAAGAGGGCAAAAATGTTGTATCCCGGTGAGCCTTTTAGGGTTCCTCCAACAATGGAGAACATGAGGATATAGGAGGGCAGCCAGAGCAGAGTGAAGATGAGAACCAGCAGAGCTGAAGTGTGAGTGACTTGGCGCTGGTAACGTTCCAGTTGGGGGGCATTACCTATCTGCCGTGCGTGTCGAAGAAAGCAATAGATCTTGGCGTACATCAGTACAATGATGCCTAATGGCAGAGCAAATCCAAAAAGAAAAAGGGCAATGCTGTAGACCAGCTGGCTGACGTCAGACAGGAAGGCGAAGCAATAAACTGTGCTGGAAAAAGTAATTGTGCGGAAAGCAAATTGCGGTGCGGCCAACGCCGAGGCAGGAACCCAGAGCAGGGCTACTGTAACTTTAAATCGTCTGTGCATCCTTGATTGGTACGTCCAGGCGGGGTGTACTACTGTAAGGTATCGTGTTACTGCCAACGCTGCCAGGGTGAACACAGAGGCAGCCGAACAGGCGACGCTCAGGAAACTGATGGCTTTGCACAGGAAGTCACCAAAAGGCCAGAAGCCCAAGGTAATGGCAGAGGTATGGAAGGGCAGGCAGAACAGCAGCAACAGGTCCGCAGCACTCAGAGCCAGCAGCAGCGTGTCTGTACCATGAGGTGGTTGATTTCCTTTCTTCCTCCTGCCAGTAAGAATAGTCATGATCAGAATTTGCCCCACAAGTCCGGTCACCAGAATCAGCCCATCCAGGATGGGAATCAAGGCTTTAATCAAAACCTCTTGGTTTTTGTTTATCTGGTCGGGGTCACTGTTATTTATCTGCTGTCTCAGAGTCTCCATGGAGCCACAGTAAACGTGTTTTAATCTCACACACTGTCAATGTTGAAAATCCAAACGGGACACCAGATCTGGGTAACTAATCAGTTTGTGCCAAATTATCTCTTAAAATAAATAGGTATAATTACACTTCAGTGACATGGCTACTACTTTGATAATGATAGCAATTAGTTAAGCTGTTATCACACTGGTCATTTAACATTGGCATCTATTGTGCTCTCACAGGAAGAAAAGAATATACTATAAACTGTATATATTTTTCCATGCTGGAGCTGTAGATAAAAAAAAAATCATATTTAAGTGCTCCAAAATCATCCTCTTCTTGTGTAATGCACTGATCCTGCTGATGTCCCATAATCTTTTTACAAATGTTTTCTTATTGCAATCTTAAACTCAGAAGAGGCATTCAAAAACACGACCTTGTGATCTAAAAAAAAACGATTTTGGCTTTTATTAAGCTGCATCAGCATGTTTGTTATCATCCGAGGAAAAGCTGTTTTGATCCAAATTCAGATGTCTGTGCAGCCGTTCCTCCGTGGTTCCATCGATTCTTGAAACCAAGCAACAGTAGACAGATCCATCCATGTGGTTGCTATCAGATATTTCTCTTTAAAAGCAGTCAATGCTACTTGATGTAAAGTGCTCACCACGGCAGGAGGCATCTTGTCCATTTAAAAGCTCTTCAGAGATTGTAGCATGTAGACTCTCCCCAGCAGAGCAGTCACTGCAGGATTCGTACAGTGACTGTAAATCCTTAAAGGGGAAAAATAGATCGTTTGTAATAAAAATTGACAAAAGAAACAGAAATAATTCTCAGGTGTTCATGTACTGCTGAAGTGACCTGGGATTGTATAAAATGCTTTGGTCTGTGTGTTTATAGTCTTCACAACAGGTTCTGGGCACTGTTTGCTCAGTAACCAGGGGATGAACAAACTTAGCCAATGGGAGGGTAAACCATGATGTCCAATGTTACGTAATTCTGGTCTGAATACACATTATTCCGTTTATTGTATGATCATACCACAATCAAACTAATTATATTTTCTTTTTCTTGTTTCTATTTTTCACCGTTTGATTTTTGAGTCATGAAAAACCAAACATGTTTTTTTATAGGAATGTTTTGTTCTGCGGTGGTCTTTGAGTCGTAGTTTTGTTGACAGAGGATATAGCCTTGAAAATGCCTTGCAGTAATGCTGATGAGAGAGAAACACTGGAAACAAGTAGTTATTTTTATTATTGCATGTTCTATTAGGTTTTGCTTGAAGATTGAAAGGAAGGAATTGAAAAAAAAAGATTTTTAATTTAGGGACCTAACCCTAAAAGTTGTTTCAATCACAGTTTTCTTTTGCGATTGTCAAGACCACAAGGGGAATAATACAAAGCACACAACAGTTTTTAAGTGTGCAGGCACACAGCCAAAAATAAAATAAAATAAAATAAAATAAAACTGACATGTTGATAGACATTTTTAACGTCTTTTTAGAAAGAGCAGCTTTGTCTCACACTCAGAGAACTGTAGTATTGGGTATTAATGTTCTCACATTCTTTCTTGTTTCACAGTTCATAAATTGATGCAGGTAGTGATAGAAACCTATATAACATGTCCCAGCAGCTCCCTAATGAAGTCGCGCTAAGATAAATGTGGGAGTAGCGATGACAGCATTTTAAAAGGTCCTGCATTCCTGAAACTACATATATATATATATATATATATATATATATATATATTTTTTTTTTAAACAGTGTATTTTTTCATAGACCTTTTGGTTAAAATGTCACTGCAGTTCCATATTCTGTCTTCTTTGTTTTTCAGATGTTGGATCCGTTGAAGGCCTGGCATACCATCGAGGCTGGGATACACTCTACTGGACCAGTTACACAACGTCCACAATCACTCGCCACACTGTGGATCAGAGCCGGTCTGTGGCCTACAACCGCAACACTGTGATCACGATGTCTGGAGAAGACCACCCCAGAGCCTTTGTGTTGGACGAGTGTCAGGAGTGAGTCGTTAATGTCAAAACTAGTTTCTTGTTTTTCTTATTCTTGTGCAGCAGGTTTATTTGACTTCAGTCAACTTTCTGTTGGATCTCTCATCACAACGCTTGTTTTTTGCTTGTTGCCACCACAGTCTCATGTTCTGGACCAACTGGAATGAGCAAGCTCCCAGCATCATGAGGGCCTCCCTGAACGGAGCCAATATGCTCGTGATTATCGGCAGCGACATTAAAACTCCAAACGGCCTGGCTATAGACCATCGTGCTGAGAAGCTCTACTTTTCCGACGCCACGCTGGACAAGATCGAACGCTGCGAATACGATGGGAGCAGCCGTTATGTAAGGCAGTTCTTTAATTGGTTCTTCGGTTGTTCTCAAAGCTCTGTTCTTGAAATGTGAATTATCCTGCCTCAGGTCCTGCTGAAGAACGAGCCCGTCCACCCGTTTGGCCTGGCTGTTTATGGAGATTACATTTTTTGGACTGACTGGGTGAGGAGGGCTGTGCTCAGGGCTGACAAGTTCACTGGAGGAGACATGAAAGTGCTGCGTGCTGACATCCCTCAGCAGCCGATGGGCATCATCGCAGTGGCTAATGACACCAACAGCTGTGAGTATCACAGACAGAATAACTCGAGAATAATGGCCGTATATAACACTATTAAGACGTTTTTCTCAAAAGGTTTTATTGGTCAAAGTAATGGACCTTTCAAGTATCAAGTTTATGTTCGTTCTTACCACAAGAATGGCAGATATGATGTACAAATGTGCACAAGTAACCATTTCTGTTATCATTCCTCTCCTAAATGTAGCGACTGTGCTATTCTTGTAATGTTTGTTTTATTTTGTTTACTCCATTACTTCCCAGTCATGCAACTTGTTTTTCTAATGAAGGAAGGGATGATCTCTAGTTTATTATTGCAGTTTATGCAGAAGAACGTTCAAATTACTTATGAAATTTCCTTATTTATGTGGCCTGGACATGAAAGCCTGAATAAACAATCATTTTAATGTTGCTTACCATTGAAGTTTTAAAGCTCTGCTCAGCTTTTCTTTGTAGCATTTCCTTCAGAGGTTTGTTTATATCTGGGTAAAGGGATTCTCACGGACTGCCCAAGACAGCTCACATGGACTGTTTTCATTCATTCATACAGTATATTTAGTTTTGTTGGAAGGAATGCAGGGGAAAATGTGTCACAGCAATATTCCTCTCACTAACCCTCCCGTGTTCCTCAGGTGAGTTTTCACCGTGCCGGTCTAATAACGGAGGCTGCCAAGACCTGTGTCTGCCCACATCTGATGGACGCGTCAACTGCAGCTGCCGCGGAGACCGAAAACTCCTCGAAGACAACACCTGCTCTCGTGAGATCAAAATGAAAAAGAGCATCTTTAAGCATAAAATGCATTTTGTTTGAGGGTTTCTAAGTCTGTCTGTTTCTACCTCACCAGCGCTGAACATGTCGTGTGGAAGTGTTGATGATTTTGAGTGTGGAAACGGAGACTGCATCAATTACAGCCTTACATGTGACGGGATGGCCCACTGCAAGGACAAGTCTGACGAGAAGCAGTCTTATTGTGGTGAGGTTTTACACTGAACTGACACTGGTTAAGATTTATGTCTAAGATTGCAGAAAATTAGGCTTTAAAATAAGCATTTAGCTCATCTGCTTTGCTAATTGCTAAAGTTAAAATAAACTCTGTTGCTCAACTAACTTGAAATCACATTCCTCTGCAGCCAATCGAATCTGTAAGAAGGGCTACAGACGCTGCATTAACGGTCGCTGTATTGGCCACCAGTTCTGGTGTGACGGTACAGACGACTGTGGTGACCGTTCAGATGAACTGCCCTGCAACAGTAAGTACATCTGCTCTAATTTGAGCTTTTTCAAGGTTTACAGAGACATCAACTGGTCTGTAGCACTCAGAGCCAGAGAGAAGTTCCTGAAGTTGTTTAATCAAACCTTTTTTAACAGTTACGTAATAAAATAATTTAAAATTGACTTGAACAGTTTACATTTACAATAGGATTGTATTTTTTTCCCTTTTTTCCCCTTTTTCTTAACTCTAAATTTTCCTTGCAGTGACCCTGTGCAAACCAGGGGAGTTCCAGTGCAAGGATGGAAGCTGCATCTCCAACTTCAGTCGCTGTGATCAGGTGGTCAACTGTGAAGATGCCAGTGATGAAATGAACTGCCGTACGTAACCAAGAACTGGATTTATTCTGTAAAGTGAGGATAGTTTTTAACATTTGATTGGATTTTGAAATATATATTTTTCGTTGTTTTCTCAGAACCTACCGATTGCTCCCGTTTTTTCCGCCTTGGAGTCAAAGGAGCATCTTTCCTGAGCTGTGAGAAAACCACTCTGTGCTATCTGCCCTCGTGGGTGTGTGACCTCAACAACGACTGTGGAGACTTTTCTGATGAAAGAAACTGTCCAGTTTTGGGTGGGTTTTTTTCCTCCCCTCTTTGATTTACTTGTAGTATTTTCCACCCCCAGAGAACATTTATCATGTTTTCTCCCTTTCTTTGTTTTTGCAGACGAAAAAAAGCTGAAGTGTCCAGTGAACTTCTTTGCTTGTCCCGGCGGCCGTTGCATCCCTATGAGCTGGACCTGTGATAAGGAGAACGACTGTGAGAATGGAACAGATGAAACACACTGTGGTTAGTTTTTCCCGGAGCTGCGCTTTAATTCCTAACAGAACTGTTTAAGCCAGAGTGTTTTTCTTATCCAGAGTGTGCTTTTCTTTCTCCTCTTCAGACAAATTTTGCACATCTAACCAGTTTGAATGTGGGAACCACCGCTGCATATTCAACCACTGGGTGTGTGACGGCTCTGACGACTGTGGTGACGGTTCTGATGAAGACCAGAAATGCGGTAACTTGACGTTTTGCTTGCTGCGTCACTTGCAAATCTAACCAAAACATTTTAAAGGCATGAATTAGATTTTTTTTCCAGTGTCATAGTGTCACGTAACCATTACATGATGTTGCAGAAAATAAGACGTGCAGCCCTGAGCTTTTCCAGTGCCCGGGATCCCACGTGTGTGTGCCTCAGCGATGGAAGTGTGACGGAGATAAAGACTGTCCCGATGGAGCAGATGAGAGTGTCACAGCTGGCTGCAGTAAGTGGTCCTGAATAGACCAATAACCTAAATAGATCATTTGTTATAATTAAAAACTACTACCCTGAAATATAACAGTTCCATCGCCAAAAGTGTTTTTTTTTTCCCTGCTCTCAGTGTACACCAACAACACATGTGATGAGAAGTATGAGTTTATGTGCCAGAACCGACAGTGTATCCCCAAGCACTTCGTCTGTGATCATGACATCGACTGCTCTGATAGGTCAGATGAGTCCCCAGAATGCGGTGAGTTTTATTTGAAATAAAATGTGTTTTGTGATTAATTTTGTTCATCCTGCTGAGTTTGAGGTCAAACGTGTCTCATCTCCTGGTGTGTGTGTGTGTGTGTGTGTGTGTGTGTGTGTGTGTGTGTGTGTGTGTGTGTGTGTGTGTGTAGAATACCGGCCGTGTGGTCCAGATGAGTTCCGCTGTGCCAACGGTCGCTGCCTCAACCAGAAGAAGTGGGAGTGTGACGGAGAGTTCGACTGTCAGGATCACTCTGACGAAGCTCCTATTAACCCTCACTGCATAGACTCCGGTAGGATACCCCAGTCAGTTTTTTCACTCAGTCAAATTTACCTTAAAAATAGTAAATTTGTATTTTGAATAAAGAAATTAATTTTATATGTATATAAAAAAATTCAGAGCAACCTACCTAAAAATGAAGTACAGAAGATGTATTTTGTTTTCTACTTTAATTTTACACACAGACAAACAGGACAGAAGCTTAACGCTCTCGTGTCTTGAGTTTAAACTGCATTGTTTTTGTATGTTTATCAGTTTATTTATAAAATTTTCTCAGGTTTATTTATTTTATTGATCTGTTCTGCATTGGTAATTAAGGACTTTTTGCTTGAGTTATTAAAGTGGAATTTCATTCTCACTAATATTTCAAGGTGTTTTAAATGAAACACATAAAAATGTCAATAGTTGAAACGTGCCGATCATAAATAGTGAACTATTATAAATATTTTAAAATGTACATTTTTTAATCCAACAGTATCAACTAGCATGCCTCTACGTGCAGTTTGAGTATAAAACTGTGTCCATGTGTTTTAAGTATGTTTTAATATGAGTATAGGGTAAAAATATTTAATTCTGCAGTTGCATATTAGTTTTCCTGTTACCTTTAGATAGTTGAAAGTAAAATTTCTAAATTATTCCTAGCTTAACATTTTGTATTATGTGTAAGTTCTGTTTTTATCTTATTGACTACCAGCACCTTGCATTTGATTGAAGGATTTTCTTGTTTATGTGACCTTTTTCTTAGGTCAAAAAGGCAAAATAAAATTTAGGTGAGCATAGTTTGGTTAGAGGTAACCAAATTAATGCTTTATACATCCTTTTTTAAGGTAAAAATGTGTTATAAATATATGGGCCATTTGACAAATACAAACTCTAAAAGTGTTAAATAGCATTTTGATCAACTCTGTTAATATAACAAAAGTAAATGTTACTGGGTTTGATACCTGATTTAACTTGTTCTGATTTCAGAGAGGACCTGCAATGACTCTGCCTTCACGTGTCGTAACGGAAAGTGTTTGAACGAGACTCAGCTGTGCGACCGGAACGATGACTGCGGCGACGGCTCCGACGAGCTCAACTGCTTCATCAACGAGTGTCTCAACAGCAAACTGAGTGGCTGCTCGCAGCTCTGTGATGACCTCAAGATTGGCTTCAAAGTAAGTCATTTAATGTCTAATTTAAAATGCTTAAATACCTTTTTTTTTGTCAAAGATAATCCTGACCACAAAAAGCCTGTTGAGTTATTTTCTAGACAGTGAGAAAAAACAAATCTATTGTGTGCTTAATAGAAGTTGATATTAGGAGCTCACTCTCTTCCAGCCAGTAGTTATGCAAGAAAAACATGCTTTGGCTCTTGTTCCTGATAGCAGGAGGCCTGTCTTGGGAAATCTTGAACTTTTTGTGAACTGTAGTGTTTAGTTTACGTTCAGGACTTCTTCTGAAACTGATTTAAAAAAAAGAAACGTTGTYCATGTTATTCTGACTTGAGAGTCAGATGTTTTATTGTAAAATAAAACTATCAGCTCTTAAACAAGACTAGACTACGAAATCCCAAATGGAGAAAAAACAATTACAAAAAGATTATTTTCACAAGTTTGGCTAAATTTTTACATTAGGTCAGATGTAGCTGTTCCAGTTTAGATAGCGGTGGTGCACAAATAAAGTACTTGCTGGAAGATAAACTTATCATAAGGTTACAGAGAGAGTGACATTGATCTAAACGAAAAGTGAGCATTTCAGAATCATTTTGACACATCTCCTCTGTCCTTTGACCCTTCAGTGCAGGTGCCATCCTGGCTTTCAGCTGAAGCGTGACGGGAAGACGTGTGTGGACATAGATGAGTGCACAACCACCTACCCCTGTTCTCAGCACTGCCTGAACACACACGGCAGCTTCCACTGTCTCTGCGTGGACGGCTTTGAAGTCAGCCCAAATGACCCCACCATCTGCAAGTCCACATCGGGTACGACAGCTTCATGCGCCATTTCATTTAACCAGCTGCACGCAGGCTGTCGATTCCTGAATGTTTTGTCATCTTGTTTTTGTGTGCAGACGTGGAGCCCTATTTGATCTTTGCCAATCGTTACTACCTGAGAAAACTCAATCTGGATGGATCTAATTACACTCTTATAAAACAGGTGAGGTGAAGGGGTATATCTTTAAAGAAACAGTTGATTTTGTTTTTAGCCTTCTGAATGAATGGTTTAACTCTTTGTACAAAATTATTTTCAGGGGCTCAACAATGCAGTGGCACTGGATTTCCACTACGCAGAGCAGATGATCTACTGGACAGATGTGACCACTCAGGGCAGCATGATCAGACGCATGCACATGAACGGCAGTAACATGGAGGTCAGAGAGGGAAATTTGACACCGTTTTATTCTTTATAGTAGACCTAGTTGTATATATTAGTAAAGCATGAGCGTGTTTATCCTTAATATTGATCAATTTGGCAGGTTTTGCATCGAACCTCCCTGAATAATCCRGATGGTTTGGCKGTGGACTGGGTTGGTGGAAACTTGTACTGGTGCGACAAAGGCCGGGACACTATCGAGGTTTCAAAGCTTAACGGGGCCTACAGGACTGTGCTGGTCAACAGTGGCCTCAGGGAGCCGCGAGCTGTGGCTGTAGATGTGCGYTATGGGTAAGAACCATTGTTGTAACTTAATTTTTTTAAAGCAGTTAGCAATTGAAACTTAAATGTTGGCTCGATTTCCTTTTATTCAGATACCTTTACTGGTCTGACTGGGGTGATAACCCTCACATTGGAAGAATTGGGATGGATGGCACCAACAGAACGGTCATCATTCAGGATAAGATCGTCTGGCCCAACGGACTAACCCTGGACTTCATTAATGACCGTATATACTGGGCTGATGCCAGGGAGGACTACATTGAGTTTGCCAGCCTGGATGGTACYAACAGGCACACAGGTAACACACGAGGGGCCTGAATCACGAATACTGTTAGATACTATTCTAATTGTTAGAACAGAATTTGAAAAATGACTATACCTATTATCAACTCAGTAAGTCAGCAGTTTTAATAAAAAGCGAACCAGTTTTATGGCATTAAACRTGGAACTTTTACACCAAGCCTCTAATCCTGTTATGTGTTATGCATAAATGTGTTATTACTGTTTTAACTCTGTTTTTTATCACAGAGTCAAAAACAAGGACACTGTGCACTTTGTGGTTCTCAGTCTATATGTTAAGGATGACTCCCAGCTATTATCTCAGCACACATTTGTTTAGTATCTATAATAAGGACTGAGTTATATCAGTAGCTGTGACAGATTTGTAATTGTTCATATGAGAAAACKCTGATGAGGAAAACTTACAGGAGAAAAAAAAAGTTAATTAAAAAATTTTGTCTTAATAAATTATCATTAGGACTTGCTTTTTGTGGCCTTATGTGTGCATTGAATTATCACCACTCCCTCCCTAAAAGGCAGCTGTAAGTGTTTGTAGAGCAGGACTTGTTTTGTTTGAACTCAGATAAGGACAGACTAAACGGCGCTCTGAGCTAACCTGGCTAATCTCGAAGCTTGATCTGACTGCTGTAAAACTACTGTGACATTTTAATTATTAATTTGTGAAAATCAATACTAAAACCAGAGGGGTTTTGTACGAGTGGCACCTGTGTGTGCTTTGTGTGTTTGCTCTTGCAGATCTATGAATGTGTGCAGCGTGTTTGAGACACTGAGGGCAAGCATGAGATTTAAGGTATATGTTGACAGTGGGGAAAAAAGTGCAATTACAGCATAAAACCTAATGAGGCATAGAAGCCGTTGCATAATCATGATACAGTCGTGTTGCTGCAGCTGCGTATCTCTTTCAGCCAGCTAAAGTTTTACATTAACAGAGCAAGGAGGTTTTTCTTTTAATGGAAACATCTTAACTTGAAATGTAGGATATTCTTCATAGCCATAAATCACTGTTTGTGATCCCATAATGATTTTAAACATACAGTAAAAACAGTTGGTTGTCGTACATTATTTTCTTGTTTAATTTTCTTGTGTGTGTGTTTGTGGAAGGCTGACTTTTGACATTTTTAATCTTTTTAGGAACAAAATAAAAGGTGTTAAATGTTACCTTTATTGGTATCTTTTATTTAAAATTTATTTGAAAAAAATATATATATTTTTTTGCTTTCACAGTTCTTAACCATGACATCCCTCACATCTTTGCCATGACGCTGTTTGAGGAGTACATCTACTGGACCGACTGGGAGACCAAGTCCATCAACAGAGCTCATAAGACTCTTGGTACCAACACAACCACACTGATCAACACTTTGCATCGACCCATGGATATCCACATCTACCATCCTTACCGCCAGCCACCAGGTGAGAGGTGCAACCTTTAGATAAAAGTAGATAAATGGTCATTTTTCAGCTACTGACTACAGTGGTTTTACATTTTTACCTCCAATATTAAAAGACAGGAACTTCCTTATTTTATTCTTGCTGTAATATGTTTCAGTCTTGTGTTTTGGGATTTTAAGACATGTTTGGTTTTTATGCTTCCCTCTCAGTGCTCGACCATCCATGCCAGTCAGACAATGGCGGCTGCAGCAACCTTTGTCTTCTCTCACCTGGAGGGGGCTACAAGTGTGCCTGTCCCACCAACTTCTATCTGGCCAATGATCAGCGGACCTGCATGTCCAACTGCACAGCAAGCCAAGTGAGGAGCCCGTACTACCATTTATGACACTATATTATAAGACAAGATTTTATTAATGTTTTAATACACATTTAGATGACCTAAAGCCGGTCCTTTTAAAACAATGGTATTTTGAGCAGACCAGATCAAACTGGACATGTTGGATAGTAACACACAGCACCACACTTGCATAAAAATACAGCACATCAGCACAAAGTCCTGACTAATGATTCCAGAAGCTGTTTTGATCAGTAATTATACTGTGATTATATTTTCAACACAACACTTGAGCATTTTGTCCTAGTCTTTCTTGAGTATCAAACATTTTGTAGTATGTCTTAGTTTTGTTTTTGTTGTTTTGTTTTTTTGCCAACTTTTAATTCCAGTAAAGACCAATTAATTATTTTTATTGTCTTGATAAATAAGACCTTATAATTAAAAGAGGGTGTACTAGTTTGAACTTTTCTCTATCTCTCATAGTTTGTCTGCAAGAATGATAAGTGTATTCCTTTCTGGTGGAAATGCGACACTGAGGATGACTGTGGAGATCGGTCAGATGAGCCAGCAGACTGTCGTAAGTGTCTGAGAAAAGTTTAATTAGGAGGAACTCGACGGAGGAACGGAAATGATTTAATTCAATACTTTTAAAGCATATTTTGTAAATTTTTTTTTTTTTTTGCCTTTTTAATAGCCGAGTTCAAATGCAGGCCAGGACAGTTTCAGTGTGGAACAGGAATCTGCACCAACCCAGCTTATATCTGTGATGGAGACGACGACTGCCAGGACAACTCGGATGAGGCCAACTGTGGTACGACTTGCTTTTCACACACACCTCTAAACTAGCAGAATCCAAATGTTTTGAGTTGCTTCTATTTTTAAAGAAATTGTAAAGTCGGAAATAAAACAAAAGAATTGAGTGATTTTTTTTTTGTTTGCCAAATCTGCCCTTCTAGATATTCATGTCTGCCTGCCCAGCCAGTTCAAATGTTCCCACCCGAGCCGCTGCATCCCGGGCATCTTCCGCTGCAACGGTCAGGACAACTGTGGAGAGGGCGAGGATGAAAAGGACTGCCGTGAGTGTCTTTACGTTCAACAAATTTTCTTTGCCTATATTTCCCGGTTGCTATAAATTCATTTTCTCAAACAGCTGAGGTGACGTGTGCACCCACGCAGTTCCAGTGTGCCATCACCAAGCGTTGCATACCTCGTCTGTGGGTGTGCGACCGTGACAACGACTGCGTGGATGGGTCTGATGAACCCGCCAACTGCAGTAAGACCCTCGTTTGAGACGATCAGATTGTTCATTAGCTAATGATGTAAAGTGTAATTAAATGCTTCTCTCTCCAGCTCAAATGACTTGTGGTGTGGATGAGTTCCGATGCAAGGACTCGGGACGCTGCATCCCGGCTCGCTGGAAGTGTGATGGCGAGGATGACTGTGGCGATTCGTCAGATGAGCCAAAAGAGGAATGTGGTAAGACCAGTAGTGCTAAAATTCCCAGATGCTAATGTTTGTTTGTTTTTTTTCTTCTTTTTAACTGTATCAAATTTAATAACAAAAACTTGGGATGGTAAATTTTGCAGCCGAGAGGACGTGTGAACCGTACCAGTTCAGATGTAAGAACAACCGCTGCGTGCCGGGCCGCTGGCAGTGTGACTATGACAACGACTGTGGGGACAACTCAGATGAAGAAAAATGTCGTAGGTGTCACTCTAACAGTTAAAATAATACCTCCATCATTCCTACTATCAACATCTGTAAGCTGACTCCATCCACCGTCAGTAACTCTCATGTTCACACATTTTCCACTGGGAACTCGTTAGTTTTCACCTTTTTAACCTTTACCATGTAGATTAGACCTAAGTGTAAGTTCATTATCCATTCACAGTCATTTCTAAAACATTTGACATCATCTGATGTTTGTTTCATTTCATACTGTCCTGTTGGTTTCACCCAGAGGTAAGTTACTTCACCATCCATACCAGTCTTCCAGTCTGCAGTTGCTTTTCTTTTTTGTTTTAGTTTTTGTTTTAACACTCTCCTGTGATCTTCTCTGACCTGTGATAGTCTGAGCAGAGCTGTAAATTAATTCCTTCAATAGTTTTATACCAAATGAAAATGGTCGTCTAAATAAAAGGCCTATTTGGCATGCAAGTGCTGCAATTTATGACTTTTTTAAAAAATTTAATTTGAAATTCCCTCAAAAACCTCTTAAAAGACCTTCAAAAAGCCTGGAAAAGGACGGATTATGATCCCTTTAATTGGTTACTAGAAACTTCTTGGAGGCAAAATGTAAAGAAATTTGGGATGACTGAAGATTTTATATATATGGTGTGCAACGATACAGAAAATTCACGATTCAGTTTGGTTCAATACTTTAGTCTCACGGTTTGATATTTTTTCGATGCAAAAAAGAAATTTCCATGGCCTTCATAACTTGTAATTTGTTGAAATTAAATNCGCGAAGGGAACATTCAGTGCTTTTAGCACCGCCCTCTGGCGGTCAGTAGGGATGAAATAGAACTCTGATGAGGAAAACTTACAGGAGAAAAAAAAAGTTAATTAAAAAATTTTGTCTTAATAAATTATCATTAGGACTTGCTTTTTGTGGCCTTATGTGTGCATTGAATTATCACCACTCCCTCCCTAAAAGGCAGCTGTAAGTGTTTGTAGAGCAGGACTTGTTTTGTTTGAACTCAGATAAGGACAGACTAAACGGCGCTCTGAGCTAACCTGGCTAATCTCGAAGCTTGATCTGACTGCTGTAAAACTACTGTGACATTTTAATTATTAATTTGTGAAAATCAATACTAAAACCAGAGGGGTTTTGTACGAGTGGCACCTGTGTGTGCTTTGTGTGTTTGCTCTTGCAGATCTATGAATGTGTGCAGCGTGTTTGAGACACTGAGGGCAAGCATGAGATTTAAGGTATATGTTGACAGTGGGGAAAAAAGTGCAATTACAGCATAAAACCTAATGAGGCATAGAAGCCGTTGCATAATCATGATACAGTCGTGTTGCTGCAGCTGCGTATCTCTTTCAGCCAGCTAAAGTTTTACATTAACAGAGCAAGGAGGTTTTTCTTTTAATGGAAACATCTTAACTTGAAATGTAGGATATTCTTCATAGCCATAAATCACTGTTTGTGATCCCATAATGATTTTAAACATACAGTAAAAACAGTTGGTTGTCGTACATTATTTTCTTGTTTAATTTTCTTGTGTGTGTGTTTGTGGAAGGCTGACTTTTGACATTTTTAATCTTTTTAGGAACAAAATAAAAGGTGTTAAATGTTACCTTTATTGGTATCTTTTATTTAAAATTTATTTGAAAAAAATATATATATTTTTTTGCTTTCACAGTTCTTAACCATGACATCCCTCACATCTTTGCCATGACGCTGTTTGAGGAGTACATCTACTGGACCGACTGGGAGACCAAGTCCATCAACAGAGCTCATAAGACTCTTGGTACCAACACAACCACACTGATCAACACTTTGCATCGACCCATGGATATCCACATCTACCATCCTTACCGCCAGCCACCAGGTGAGAGGTGCAACCTTTAGATAAAAGTAGATAAATGGTCATTTTTCAGCTACTGACTACAGTGGTTTTACATTTTTACCTCCAATATTAAAAGACAGGAACTTCCTTATTTTATTCTTGCTGTAATATGTTTCAGTCTTGTGTTTTGGGATTTTAAGACATGTTTGGTTTTTATGCTTCCCTCTCAGTGCTCGACCATCCATGCCAGTCAGACAATGGCGGCTGCAGCAACCTTTGTCTTCTCTCACCTGGAGGGGGCTACAAGTGTGCCTGTCCCACCAACTTCTATCTGGCCAATGATCAGCGGACCTGCATGTCCAACTGCACAGCAAGCCAAGTGAGGAGCCCGTACTACCATTTATGACACTATATTATAAGACAAGATTTTATTAATGTTTTAATACACATTTAGATGACCTAAAGCCGGTCCTTTTAAAACAATGGTATTTTGAGCAGACCAGATCAAACTGGACATGTTGGATAGTAACACACAGCACCACACTTGCATAAAAATACAGCACATCAGCACAAAGTCCTGACTAATGATTCCAGAAGCTGTTTTGATCAGTAATTATACTGTGATTATATTTTCAACACAACACTTGAGCATTTTGTCCTAGTCTTTCTTGAGTATCAAACATTTTGTAGTATGTCTTAGTTTTGTTTTTGTTGTTTTKTTTTTTTGCCAACTTTTAATTCCAGTAAAGACCAATTAATTATTTTTATTGTCTTGATAAATAAGACCTTATAATTAAAAGAGGGTGTACTAGTTTGAACTTTTCTCTATCTCTCATAGTTTGTCTGCAAGAATGATAAGTGTATTCCTTTCTGGTGGAAATGCGACACTGAGGATGACTGTGGAGATCGGTCAGATGAGCCAGCAGACTGTCGTAAGTGTCTGAGAAAAGTTTAATTAGGAGGAACTCGACGGAGGAACGGAAATRATTTAATTCAATACTTTTAAAGCATATTTTGTAAATTTTTTTTTTTTTTTGCCTTTTTAATAGCCGAGTTCAAATGCAGGCCAGGACAGTTTCAGTGTGGAACAGGAATCTGCACCAACCCAGCTTATATCTGTGATGGAGACGACGACTGCCAGGACAACTCGGATGAGGCCAACTGTGGTACGACTTGCTTTTCACACACACCTCTAAACTAGCAGAATCCAAATGTTTTGAGTTGCTTCTATTTTTAAAGAAATTGTAAAGTCGGAAATAAAACAAAAGAATTGAGTGATTTTTTTTTTGTTTGCCAAATCTGCCCTTCTAGATATTCATGTCTGCCTGCCCAGCCAGTTCAAATGTTCCCACCCGAGCCGCTGCATCCCGGGCATCTTCCGCTGCAACGGTCAGGACAACTGTGGAGAGGGCGAGGATGAAAAGGACTGCCGTGAGTGTCTTTACGTTCAACAAATTTTCTTTGCCTATATTTCCCGGTTGCTATAAATTCATTTTCTCAAACAGCTGAGGTGACGTGTGCACCCACGCAGTTCCAGTGTGCCATCACCAAGCGTTGCATACCTCGTCTGTGGGTGTGCGACCGTGACAACGACTGCGTGGATGGGTCTGATGAACCCGCCAACTGCAGTAAGACCCTCGTTTGAGACGATCAGATTGTTCATTAGCTAATGATGTAAAGTGTAATTAAATGCTTCTCTCTCCAGCTCAAATGACTTGTGGTGTGGATGAGTTCCGATGCAAGGACTCGGGACGCTGCATCCCGGCTCGCTGGAAGTGTGATGGCGAGGATGACTGTGGCGATTCGTCAGATGAGCCAAAAGAGGAATGTGGTAAGACCAGTAGTGCTAAAATTCCCAGATGCTAATGTTTGTTTGTTTTTTTTCTTCTTTTTAACTGTATCAAATTTAATAACAAAAACTTGGGATGGTAAATTTTGCAGCCGAGAGGACGTGTGAACCGTACCAGTTCAGATGTAAGAACAACCGCTGCGTGCCGGGCCGCTGGCAGTGTGACTATGACAACGACTGTGGGGACAACTCAGATGAAGAAAAATGTCGTAGGTGTCACTCTAACAGTTAAAATAATACCTCCATCATTCCTACTATCAACATCTGTAAGCTGACTCCATCCACCGTCAGTAACTCTCATGTTCACACATTTTCCACTGGGAACTCGTTAGTTTTCACCTTTTTAACCTTTACCATGTAGATTAGACCTAAGTGTAAGTTCATTATCCATTCACAGTCATTTCTAAAACATTTGACATCATCTGATGTTTGTTTCATTTCATACTGTCCTGTTGGTTTCACCCAGAGGTAAGTTACTTCACCATCCATACCAGTCTTCCAGTCTGCAGTTGCTTTTCTTTTTTGTTTTAGTTTTTGTTTTAACACTCTCCTGTGATCTTCTCTGACCTGTGATAGTCTGAGCAGAGCTGTAAATTAATTCCTTCAATAGTTTTATACCAAATGAAAATGGTCGTCTAAATAAAAGGCCTATTTGGCATGCAAGTGCTGCAATTTATGACTTTTTTAAAAAATTTAATTTGAAATTCCCTCAAAAACCTCTTAAAAGACCTTCAAAAAGCCTGGAAAAGGACGGATTATGATCCCTTTAATTGGTTACTAGAAACTTCTTGGAGGCAAAATGTAAAGAAATTTGGGATGACTGAAGATTTTATATATATGGTGTGCAACGATACAGAAAATTCACGATTCAGTTTGGTTCAATACTTTAGTCTCACGGTTTGATATTTTTTCGATGCAAAAAAGAAATTTCCATGGCCTTCATAACTTGTAATTTGTTGAAATTAAATGTGTACATTTGTTTATCCTCAAAAGTACAGTTTTTAAATTAAATGTTGCTGAAAAGCGAGTTTCTTGGTGGATCTGTGCTCAACAGTGCAGCCTAGGTGGAGCAGTTGAACACAGATCTACTGAGCCTTCAACACTTTATAAATCTGTATTGTTCGATACAAGTGTGTATTGAACTTAAAGGACTGTATTGAATGGTTCGATACGGGTACATGTATTGTTGCACCACTAATATATACATATATATATGAATATAAACTAAATTTATGTCCAGCTCCTCTCACTCTCTCACACCCCTCTGAAGTGTCATCTGCATACAATATATGCTACATTCTTGTCTTGTGCTTTGTTCTGAAAGCACAAGAAGAACATCTGTAGCTCATCTGATTTCTATTACTGCTGTCCATGACACAAATCGTGTTTCCTTCTGCAGAGCCTCGAGAATGTTCAGAGAGTGAGTTCGCCTGCACCAATGGCCGCTGTATTGCTGGGAGGTGGAAGTGCGATGGAGATCACGACTGCGCTGATGGATCCGATGAGGTGAGGTCACTTCATGTTCTGTTTTTAAGGTTACTAAAAACTTTGCAAAGGACTAAATTATATAATTTTTAACTTAACAAAACTRCAGGAGAAACCAGTTCATAAAAAGAACTAAAGGAAGCTTTGGATTTAACATAGTAATTTTTTGTTTTTCAGTAACAGCTGAATAGGGACAATATATTAAATCCTTATTTTTTTATTACTTTTATCATGTTGTCATTGATTTCTAAACTRTAAAACCTGACTCTGTTGCTGTGCTTGTTAATTTTTAGCATGGCTGTGAYCTGAAGTGCGACCCCACCCAGTTTCCATGCAAGAGTGGACACTGCATTCCGCTGTCATGGCGGTGTGACGCCGACGTTGACTGCATCGATGGCAGCGATGAACAGAGCTGCCACATTGCTGGTATTCAATAAATCCACAGTTTCAAATAAGAAGATTTATTACTAATTTAATTGTTAGAAAGGTAATCTCTTCCCCGTTCTTCTGTTTTCTTAGCTCCACGCCACTGCCCTTCAGATGACTTCCAGTGCAACAACACTCTGTGTAAACCCCTGGCCTGGAAGTGTGATGGAGAGGATGACTGCGGGGATAACTCTGATGAGAACCCAGAAGAATGCAGTCAGTGCAGTATTTTATTTTATTTTTACCTCCCCTYACGTTTTCAGAAGTCATTTAGTCTCGTCTGTTGTCCTCCCTATCTGTCAGGGAAGTTCCAGTGTCCACCCACCAGAGCGTTTCGCTGCCTCAACAACCGCGTGTGTCTTCATATGTCGGAGAGGTGCGAYGGCATCAATAACTGTGGCGACAACTCCGATGAACTCTATTGTGGTAAGACGTAACGATGTTTTCATTTGAGTCGATTGGTGAAATCTTGCAGGGTAATAGCTGACATGTCCGTGGTTTGAATTTGCAGAGTCCCATCGAACTGCTCCCACGTGTGAGAAGGACGAGTTCTTGTGCTCCAAYGGCAGATGCATCAGCTCCAACCTGCGCTGCAACTTCTTCAATGACTGTGAGGACTTTGGCTCTGATGAGATCAACTGTAAAACAGGTGCCCTTTTACTCCCCAACAGCTCAGATCTAAAACACGTTGTCTTAAAACGCTGGATCTCATCTTCCAATGTGTGTGCTTGATTTCAGACACAAAGCTGAATGACTGTCGCAGTAACAGTACTCAGTGTGGAGATGGAGACGAGGCTCACTGCGTCACCAACGGTACAGACTCCTTCTGCTCCTGCAAACCAGGTTTCCAGAAGATAGGACATCGCACATGTGGAGGTACACGTGCGGAATTCTCCACTGCAAATATGTCGCAACAAGAAGCATGACTGTTGACTCTTTTTCCCCCCTTCCCAGATAAGAACGAGTGTTTACAGTTTGGAGCGTGTTCCCAGATCTGCAACAACACCAAGGGCTCCTACAAATGCAGCTGCTACAAGTATTTCACCAAGATCCACGACACCTGCAAAGCTGACAGTGAGGAATTGCACCACACTGATCGTCCTTTAGAGCTTTACGTTTGTAGAAATATCAAGTTCCGCCTCTGCTTGCAGATATGAACAGCAGCCGGCAGATTCTCTACATCGCTGACGATAATGAGATCCGCAGCCTGGATCCAGGGATGCCCAACTGGCGCTATGAGCAGATCTTCCAGGGCGACGCGAGCGTCAGAATCGATGCCATGGATCTGCACGTCAAAACAAACCACATCTTTTGGACCAACTGGCACACCGGCCGCATTTCCTCCTACGATCTCTCGGGTTCGTCCTCATCTTCGTCCAACTCCCCCCAGAACCGACGCCAGAACGAGGGACGGATCACCAACCTGCAGGTAAAGCTGGCGAAACGTGCGCAGTAACGTCACCAATGATAAAAACACGTGAGCTCTCTGTAAAGCCCTTCCTGTTCCCCTCCAGATCAAAGAGCTGAAGATGCCTCGTGGCATAGCGGTGGACTGGGTGGCTGGGAACCTGTACTGGACCGACTCTGGTCGWGATGTCATTGAAGTTGCTCAGATATCAGGCCAGCACTGCAAGACCCTCATCTCTGGCATGATAGATGAGCCGTATGCCATTGTAGTTGACCCACAAAGAAGGTACAAAAGATAGTTTTGATTTATATAATAGTACATTTTTGTCTAGCCTTTTTTGGGTTTGTCACTGAGTTATTCCTCTATAGTACCATGTACTGGGCAGACTGGGGCAACCATCCTAAAATTGAGACAGCTGCCATGGACGGCACTCTGAGACAAACACTGGTTCATGAAAACATTCAGTGGCCAACAGGTCAGTACTGTTTGAGTGCAAAATAATTTGTTTGAACCCAAAACATTTAAGTAAACTAAAGCCCTGTTGCTTCTTCACATTTCCAAATCTTTTATTTTGTTTCTGCAGGTCTGGCTGTGGACTACTTCAACGAACGTCTTTACTGGGCCGATGCTAAACTCTCTGTCATTGGCAGCGTTCGTCTGGACGGCTCAGATCCCGTTATAGCCGTCTCTGGCATCAAAAACCGTTGAGTATTTCTACTCTTTACAAACCTGTATGAATCCAGAAAACTTCATCAATAACACACTACCTGTTTTTGTTTGTTTGTTTGTTTGTTTGTTTTTCATTTCCAGACTTGTTACATCCGTTCAGCATAGACATCTTTGAGGATTATATATATGGAGTCACCTTCATGAACAACTTTGTTTTCCGCGTCAACAAGTTTGGCAAAGGCCCAATGGAGAATCTAACTACAGGCATCAATCATGCCACAGACATAGTCCTCTACCACCGTTACAAGCAGCCAGACAGTAAGTCTGAAATGATTTTTTTTTTGCCTTTAACATTTTAAAACATATTTTTTAAAGTGCCTTTGACATGCCTATCCTTCAAATACAAAACGTCAAAGAAAAGCATCTTTATTCTTAAGAAAACTGGCATAGTACACATGATTTTACCCATTTTGTCACATAACCGGCCTATTTTCTTTTAAATTTGGCTCAGCCAAAGTGAAACAGGAAGTGACATCAAAGGGGAACTCATTAATAAAATAAACTCGCTGGTCTTGGTTTATTAAAACAAAATTATTTAAACTTTAACTCTTCTTTGTCTCTCTTTGATAGCAACTAAAAATCTAAAGAAATGTCAGATTCTGTAACAAACGCTCTGTTTACATGCTGACATCACTTCCTGTTTCTTCACATGCAAATATCTCAACAACCGTTCATCTCAGCGCCGTGAAATTTGTTGTGCAATATGTTGTCAATGTTATCTTTCCAAAAACGCATTCATGCTTATTCAAACATTTGATGTCGCAGGCACTTTAAAATATTCTGTACATAGTCAAAATCTCTGGTCCAGTTCAGTTTACTCTTTTTTTTTTTTGTGTAAATTTCAGAAACGTGCAAAAACTTTGTAAGTGGATGAATCGTTATATTAGCTTAAAATGGTCTCCAAACAATATTATCATTTATCTCAATAATCTCAGGGACAATTTATTGTCAGATTTTATTTTTCTTTATTGTGACAGGCCTATCTGTACATTTGTTAAACTTATTTTTGACTGCATGTTGTGTTACTCCCTGTATCAGTACCTAATCCTTGCGACAAGAAAAAGTGCGAGTGGTTGTGTCTTCTGAGCCCCAGTGGGCCTGTTTGCACGTGCCCAAACAACTACATTGCCAACAACGGCACGTGTGTGGAGAGGCCGAGCCCCACTCAGTCACCATTCTGTAAGTTTGCACTTGCACAGCGTGCGCACATTACAGCCGTGTCTCCGCTCCACCCAGCTTGGCTGTAGTGGATTAAAAATGCCACTCGCTCTGTTCACAGCACCGCCCTCAGGGCCCTGCAACATTCAGTGTCAGAACGGTGGAAGCTGCTTCCTCAACTCCCGGCAGGTGCCGAAGTGTAGCTGCCAGCCCAGCTACTCTGGAGAACGATGTGAGATCAACCAGTGCAGAGACTACTGCAAGAATGGAGGGACCTGCACCGCTTCTCACACAGGTACGATGATTTTTATCCAGGCTGAATATATTGTTGTCTCATTTGTCTTTTATAAATCTGTGTTTTAATGATATCGTTTTTAAAAATTATTTAGCTGCTTCTCTGGTAAAACCTCAGTTTTGCAGTGCTCCATACAAAATCAGTCTTGAATAAAATTTGTTACAGACCGTAATATTTTGATCTTTTAACACAGATTTGTTCCTTCTTTTGGTTTAAATTATAGGACTTTTGCATCCATTTATAGTTATATGTATATTAT